CACACACACACACACACACACACACACACACACACACACACACATATATATATATATATATATATATATACATATATATATATATATATATATATATTATAATACCACTTTGGGAGTGACGGCGTGCCATGGATAATAAACCAAATAAAATATATTTCATCGATTTCCAGTTCGGCGCAATTTTGATGGACTTTTTTAAGAACATGCAGCAATCCTCAGCGAAACTCTGTTTGCGACTATCATAAATTGTACCAGCGTACGACTCGTATAAAATGGGCTGAACGTTTTTTTAGTGACATTAACAAAGTCAAGTGGATCTTCACATACGTCTACGTCCGCATTGTCGTCTCTTTCAACTCGGTCAAATGTGGCCTCTCCAGAGGAGTGTGCAGCGCCCATGTTTTAGTATATTTAGTTACACGCACTGTTAGTAACCTGCGCCTCAGATAACTATGCCGTTTTATAGTTTTCAAAAATATATAGAAGAGGCAGTGTTCTAATTTGGAATGTGTAAATGTTTACAACATATGTAAATAAAATTGATGAATATTTTTCTAAAAAATATCTATAAATTCATACATAGGGGGTTTTTGAATTTGGCTATGATGAAAGATCCAGGGTTTTGCAAAAAAAGTAAAAACACTACTGCTGGCGAAAACGCGGGCTTTTATCCATAGCCTTCTCTCTAGATCAATCATTTTATATCTCTGTGTCTCGCCTCTCTCTCAGTCTCTCTCTCCAAAATTCTAAATACTATTTCTACTACTACATAGTAGGAGAGTACATAGTGGGTATGTAGGAAGGGGCGCGGGAGAAGCCGACTGTGTCTGTGAGCCGCGAGGAAAACGGGGAGTACGTTTAGGGATAATATTATTCATTTCAAAGGAGTTAAGTTACAATGTTTGTACATATGGTATGGCTACTACGTTTAGTGATAGGTTTCAGAGCAGAGTGGTTTTAGAAAAACCTAAAAACCTCCATCGGTTTATTCCGTTACTAACGTTTCCACTTTCCTAAATATTCGTCACAAAATTTTATATTCAATACAAATTTTTAGCTGATAAGCATCAGCTCCTTCTGGAACTTTCGGCAGAAAGAATCAGGGATGGTAGGGAATGGTATGATTGACAACAGCGTAACTGAGCGTATTGAGCTTCTGCTAGGCGATTAGTTGCATGGACGTAGTCAAGCAATATATCATCCAGCGATTGTACTACACATAGTTGTATTGGATACAATCAGGACTTTTATTACGCATTTTGTTTAGCGTCTTCTACCACACTGTCAGTAATGATCAGTGGCAGTACACCGCTGCGACAGTCACGGCGACTGCGCAGTATCGAACCCGAAGAGATGCCCTTAGCACCGGGAAGTAAGGTAGTGGCCGATAGTATCACAACCAGGAGCTCGATGAAGAAAAAGGCTGACAGGGAATCAGGTATTGCGAGCATGTTTACTTGTGCACAGCTATAAAGTGCGTTTGACAGCCGAAAGGTGATTCGATTTTAGCGGGCAATCTTTCAGTTTGCACGAAAGAAAAGATGTCGAAGACTTCAGAACTATGTTGACGATTCAGTATATACTTAATCTACGAATATTTGTGAATGAATTGTATATACATTCGTTATATACACTCACAGGTGCACATACACATACACACACATACATATACATACTTATACATACACATGCACACATACACACACACACACAAAAATATATATACACACACATACACTCGTTATATTATATTTTCCTATATACGTGTATGTGTGTTTTCACACTCACAAACACTCCAATTCCCCCTTCCCTCACGGACACACACTCATACAAACACCCTCACACGTGTACACACACGTGCACATACACATACATACACACAAGCACACACATATACATAAACACAGACGTGTGTACACGCACACTCATACACACACACACGTGTGCACACTCACACGTGTGCACACTCACACATACACACACACAACACACATACACAAACACGCTTACATACGTGTAAACACATACACACACATAAGAGAGAG